AAAAAAAAAAAAGAAGAAGAAGAAGAAGAAGAAAAATTTAACATTTCCTGCAAAAAGACAAGAAAATAAAGAAATATTTTTAGTGTAATGGAAAATTCACAGGCAAGATATGATATAAGCTGTCTAATATGATAGCCACCAGTCACACAGGGGTATTTAAATTTAAATTAATTTCAAATAAATAAAGAATTCAGTTCCCCAGTCACACTAGCCACATCTTAAGTGGTCAACTGCCCCAGGTGGTTAATGACTACCAAACTGGATATTTCTATATTCCAGAAAGTTCTAGCAGACAACAGTAATAGTGAAAAATACAAGGTAATGAAGGAACATATGGAAGTATGATTTTATTCATGTTAATCACATACACCCACTTGTGAGTTAATTAAACGGTTAAACTGGCATTTCTAGGAATTTCTAGGAAAACCAAGGACTTTCATTCACTGTATACTTTATTGTTTGAATTTTTTAATAAGCATATTTTTACTCTTATAACAAGTAAAAGTGATTAACATATTTTCAAGTGGAATAACAACCTGTCTCCTTTCTTGAACTTGGAACAGAACTTTAGTTCTGTTAAAACAAATTGATTTTAACTAGTATACAAAGCTGGCAAGGTACATGTCCTATACTTAGAAATTTTTGGTATTTTAGCCACAATGGGAGCAGGGAAGAGAGTCTGTTCTGGGCCAAAGGATGATATCACCATCTCAGACACAAGTTTAAGCTGATATTTGATCATTTAAAACTATTTCTTGAACTGAAGAGGTCCCGTGGGCAAGGGCTTTTAATACATCTTTCCATTTCGATTCTTGTAGCTGATAATAGATCAAATTTCAGAAAGAGTAATTTTGAATTATGTTATAAATTTCCCAAGAAAAGAAAACTCTATTGAGAGTTACAGTCAGTTTCTGGACATTCCCACTGAATCCATATAACTAAGGGGAAGTTTCCATAGTCAGTCTCAACAATAAATTAAGTATGCTGCCCAGAGTAATTTCAGTTTTTTGGGGGGATGGTAAAAGAGAGATCATATTCTGTGTAATAAGTATTACAAAGCTTTCATCTTTGTCAAGTACCAGATCTTTAATTTTTCTTAGAAAAAAAAATCCTTAAAAATGTCTCACCAGGTATGGTGGCACATGCCTGTAATCCCAGCAGCTTGGAAGGCTGAGGCAAGAGTTCAAAGACAGCCTTAGCAATTTAGCGAGGCCCTAAGTAACTCAGGGAGACCTGTCTCTAAATAAAATATAAAAAGGGGCTGGGGATGTGGTTCAGTGATTAAGTACCCCTGGGTTCAATCCCTGGTACCAAAAAAAAAAAAAGAAAGAAACTTAACTCTCACATACTAAAATTATATCACATTATCACATCTACCCCAGGGACTTAGTCACTTATCTGCCAACACATACACATGTTTATTTTTATTCCCTACATAAATATTGTTGATATTTCCCCACAGACTATACTGAGGGAGAAACTCTTAATGGAAAAAGGATGAAAAACATCAATTTGTGTAGAACATATGCATTCTGAAAGTTAATGATGGCAACCGGTTTTGTTATCAACTTAAACATCAATTTTATTTGGAGACCAACTATGTGACTGATTTCAACCCTAGACATGACTGTGCTTGTGGGGTGGAGATTTTGACCCCTACCAGATGTTGTTCACAAATGGAGAAGATGTACATGGATGGAACAAGAAGATAGCAAGTTTTAGCCAATGCTCCAACAATTTACCCAGTCCTCAACCATTTCCCAAATTCCTTCAGAACAAAATAACAGAAGACATAAACACATAAAGAGCAAGCACAGTGTTAAAATATTAAAGATTCTTAATTATCTGCCTAACCTCAAACCCAAATGTGAAAGTTCCTATGAAATTCATCCTACAGGTAACCTCTTCCAGACAACTTTAGCAGTTATTTTCAGTCACTTGAACCTATTTCTAATAATTCATATAAGAAGTTGGACTGAAGCTAATTTTGATCTATGTAGAAAGTTTTTATAAGAAAATAACAGTATAAACAAGACTTCCTTAGAACTTTTAATTTGCTTGAAATTTTTCAGGCTCCCTCAAGTTCTTCACTAAGACCTACTTATTTTTATCCAATTGTAAATCACACGTTCAAACCAGTAAAAGAATCTTTCTAGGTAATCATCTATTAGCCTGTTTCTAATTTGCTGCATATTGTTCAAAAATATTACTATACTTCTCAGAATATAGTCTCACTAAATGAAACTGATAATCTCTCCTCTTTCCCATTTTTTGGGAATTCATGAAATTTTTATAGTATATGCCACATCTATACTTGAATGAACCAAAAAGTTAAAAACGAGCAAATTTTCCATGAAAATAAGACATAAAGGTAATAAGATTCAAGCACTTTATAATATTTATGCTACTGCTTTTTAATGAAACACAAAAATCTCATATTTCATTCATGTAATTTCAGCATCATCCATAAAATGAAATACTTTTTGTCCATAAAATCCTATGAAAATAAAAGCATATACAGTAATATTTAGATTTTAATGCAAAATAATAATCTCACTGGGTATTTTTTTTCTGAGGCTATAGTTTCAACTCATTGTGTTAAAATAACTAGCAAATACATTACCCTGAATGATGGGGATGAATTAAATCTTTCAGGCCACAAGGAAACTACTGTAAATTACCACTCTGTGCAGTGACCACCACCAATTGGCCTCAGAGTGACAATCTGTCTTTTAAAGGTGAAGCATTAACCTACTCATTCACCTAAAGACTCATTGTTTGTTGCTTATTTAAAGTGGTAGAGAATGAAGAGGCTAAGTATAGAAAAGAGGACTCTGAATTTTTAACATTTACAAACTTGAACTACTTAAAAAAAAAAAAAAACAGAAAAGCCTAGGTTTCTACCGAGCAGTATCATCAATGCAGGAGCCAAATCAAACACAATCACTCCCCCAAATCTGGCACATACTGTCTAAATTCAAATCCAAAAAAGCAGTCCAACAAGAGCAGCCACTTGGAGTTTTAGGACTCTTCTTACATGTTAAAAGACTACAATAAATCCATTATATTAATCTTTTTCCACTAGAAGTTATTATCACATTACCTGCTTTTGGTTAAAACATTTCAGTCCATGGGGCATCTCTAGATTTTGATTAACCATGCTAACACCTAATTAACATGTTGATACAAATCTGGAAATCTCTGAAGAGGGCTCCAAGATGCCTTTGGGTGTTATTCTGGGAACTTCACTCAGCCTACCAGCAAGGTGTCCGGGAACAGTCCCAGATCAATGGGCACACAGATGAGTAATTCTCTGTACCATGAACATTCTGCACTGTGTAAGTGATGAAACCCTAATAAAATCCCTAACCCAGAATATCAAACAAAGAAGAATATACAGAAATTATGGGGGGGGGGGACAGTATTCAGGTTCTCCCCAGGAAGATAAGAGGAGCTGAACTTATGCGAGTAATCCATCAGCTTGCATCTGGAACCATTTCTGGTAACAGAGCTATTGTTTCAGAAACATATTTTATTCAGCTATCTGTCACAGGCAAATTTCTATCACTGCATAAAGAGAATACAGGCTCAGATTTCTGTACAATTTCCTTTCCTCTCTTTAAAAATTTTTCTAGACTTGAATGATAACATTCAGTACTTGCAGCTGCCACTGAAGTGCTCGCTGTTTAAAAAAAAAAGAAAAAGAAAGCAGCTTGCCAATGGAAGATACATGTAGTCAGCTTTTCTTTTTCTTAATCTGTCATTTAATATTTTCTAACGCACTAAAGGTCAATAGGGTTCCTTTCTTAAATAAATCTTACAGTAGACTTTAAATAGGATGCAAATACATTTTCAATCATCAATCATTTAAAGAATATCTCCATGAACTGAATAAATAAGCCATCTGTGACTCAAGCCTCCCTAATCGTGTTTTTAGGCTGACCCACTTATACAGTCACCACGGTTCACACAAAATCTCAGTTCTAAGGGGGCAGGAATAACTGCTCTGTGCGGGCGCATAATTTGAATCCAACAGGGTAAAGGGATGATACAAACATCTATAAAAAAAAAAATTAAAAAGAAAAGAACAGGAGTCTTTAAAAAGAGAATTTCAATACCACCCTTAACCAGAAGCAATCTTTTCTCCAACACAAGCGCAAATCAAGTCTGAAGGTGGAAAGGAGGGCAAGCGCAAAGGATGAAGAAACCGGACCAAGTATTAAAACACTTGGTGCATTTGACTTTGGAGAGCAAACCCTGGGTTTGCAGCAGGATGCGGTCAAGTCTGTGGGAGCTCCGTACAGGGGGTCAGCCCTGCTCTATACAAAGCTCTGCGGATCCGCTGGAAGGTGGCAAAACTGAGTGTCCCCAGGAGCCGGCCGGGCCGGGACCCCTTCGGCGCCCCCTGCCCGGCGGCGGAGGCAGAACTTTGCGCAGTTCGCCGCTAGCAGCCCAGAAACCGCCAGGGGCACACCTCGGTTCCACTCCCCACACGGGCTTCGCCGGTTATTACTTCACTGGGGCTGGTGGTGGTTGGGGGAGGGGGAGGGGTGAAAAGACTCAAGGAAGGTTGGCAAGGAACCGGGAGGACCATTTCCATCCCACGCGCCGCAGACGGTCAAGAACGCCGCCGCCACAAAGGGAAGGGCGTCGCGCTTCTCCTTGGTTCCCACCGAGAGTCACTCGCTGGCAAGGGCAGCAAGCAGCCCCCACGGGGCCAAAGCCAGCAGCGGGGATGGGCGAGGCCAGCCGGCGGGGACGCGCGGCAGGTGACAACCGCGTCGCCGTCCCTGGCCCGGGGTCCCCGCCTCCCCGCCCACTCCGGGCCTCCTCTCTCCTGCAACCTGGACTTCACAATGGTCTCGAGCCGGGGCGAAATTACCACGGAGCTGAGCCACTGAGGGGCCCCACACCCCGGGGAAACGAGCCCGAACGGCGACCCGAGGCGCGTGCGGTTTCCGCCCTGTCGTTCCCGGTGGCGCCCGCGCGCCGCCTCCTACCCTTTGGCGTGCTCAGTCTCTTCCTCATTGTCCCCGTCTATCCCGCACGTGTCCTGGTCGTCCAGCTCCAGGCTCTGCTGGCTGGCCGCAGACTCGCTGTCCTCCGCCATCGCGGCGGCGCGGACTGAGGAGGCGGCGCTCGGAGCGGCGGGCGCGGCACGGCGGGGCGGGCGCGGCGGCAGCTCCCTCTAGTGCCGCCCGCCGTCCTGCTCCGAGTCCGGAGCCAGGCTCCGCGCCCGCCCCGCCCACCCCGCCGGGCCCGCCCTGCCTCCCCGCCTGACCCCGCCCTCCTTCGCCGCCCACAGCTCAGCCTCGCCACTCCCACCTCGACCCGCCGGAGGGCGCGGGTTTTCCCCAGCCCCGCCGCGCGGGAGTTTGGGGGAGGGTGGATGGAGCTGGGGGACTCCCAGCCTGAGGCAGTGAGGAGCCGACCGGCTCTGCACCGCCAAGCCTGAGCCTCTCCTCTGACCTAGCCTCGATTCTCTAGGCCACGACGTGTGGACTGTGCTGGGCACCCACATTTTGGGAACACAAAAACACTCGATTTTACCTCTCCGCCTGTTTCGGAGCGCTTCGGCTTTGGCAGTGAATTTTGCAAAGGAGTAGGCATGCCTAGGCCAGTGACTTCCAGAAGCTCTTCCCGCCCCGTCGCACGCATTTGCTTTTAAAAAGAACATTTACAATCTGTCTACTGTAAAACCAAAGTCAAAGTCATACCAGACTGCCTTCAACTTCCCACCTCCCTGTTCCAACCACTCTCACAACCATAAAACTCGACAGAAAAAAATCTAGAGCTGTCCCATTTGGGCTGAATACAGTCGTCTGAGACCAGAACAAATATCTTGAGGGAAATGGGGACACAGTTTCAGGTAAGCTACTCTGCCATTCCCCGAAGTGAAGGTCGTGACCTAGATTGCCTTAGAAAAGGCTGGTAAAGTTCAGATTCCATTTGTTGTCGTCCTGTACACAGCAGTCCTTTCCTTTGCTTTCCTGAGAGAGATAATGTTCAAAGTTCCTGCAGGATTGCCAGAAGTCTACGCGGTGGTTTTCACAAAGGCAGAAATTGTGCAATGAGGAAAAGGAGACTTTAAAGGACCACCAGAAATTTGGGGTCTGGGTCATTTATTTGCAGAAGGTATTAGACCATTTTGTGGCTTCTTTTTCCCCCCAGAAAGGAGAATATGTCCTTAAAATACAATAAGATAGAAGTATCTAAAGACAAAAATTGCAGAGCAATTTCAAAGTCCATTAGCTATTTGATGTTGATCCAGCTAAGAAGTAGAAATGGGGCCAAAACATGGAGGAAATACAGTATTACTTTTAACAATTGCAACTATTTCTGAGACAGAGTCCTATGTGGCCTCTAGCTTCAAATTTAAGGATAAAGGCAAATACAGATCAATGGAGTTCCTGCAGCTCATCTCTAGGAACATGAATAGTTGGAAAACTGTAACCTGCTTGAGTTACCAAAAGGAACCTGACTAGGCCAGACAGATCAGCAGTCAGAAGGGTTCTCTCAAAGACTTTTTAAAATACAGAGCAAAGGAAACTCAATAGACATATATTTATTTGAATTTTCAAGCATACAAGAAAAAAAAAAAGCTAAGAAAACAAATAATTTGGGGGAAACTAAGTAAGGACATCAAAAAACAGTTAAACACCAGAAAACAATGACAAGCAGGGAACATCTGTTCCCCAGAATGGAAATAAGTTTGCTCAGACATTTGTACAGTACTGGATTGAAGTATTATATAATACAAATGTTTCTCAGCATTAATGTTTTGAAGGAGGAAAAAATTTGCACATGACCCTGGGGGTTCCTAAATCTTATTGTCATGTACATAATATGTTTCTATAAATTTTTACTTCTTTCTCTGGCTTAATCCCAGAGTTTGGAGAATGGGAGCCAAGTGGCACTTCTGGTCTCTCAGATCCAAAGCTCATTTGGGGGAAAGAGATCTGTAGGGTGGTTGCCAGTATGTTTAAAGAGCTCTTGGGAATTTCCTGCTCTGCCTGGCTCATCTCCTATTACAAATGTAAGACCATAGTTGTATAATTGGTTTTGTTTTAAAGTATTATAACTATTTTTTTTATATATATAGGGATTGAACCCAGGGGCACTTAATCACTGAGCCACATCCCTAGCCCTTTTTTGTATTTTATTTAGAGACAGGGTTTCACTGAGTTGCTTAGGACCTAGCTAAGTTGCTGAGGCTGATTTTGAACTCGAAATCCTCCTGCCTCAATCTCCCAAGCTGCTAGGATTACAGGTGTGTGCCATAGCACCCGGTAACTTCTTTGTTTTTAATTGTGATAAAACACACAACATAAAAAAATAATAAAAAAGGTTTTGTCTTGGCCATTTTTAATTGTATAGTTTGGTTGTACAACAGTGTAAGTGTACTAATCTCCAGAACTTTTCCACATTTATTAAACATTTCCACATTTCCCTCTCCTTTCAGATTTTGGCAACCACCATTCTACTTTGTTTCTGCGAGTTTGACTACTCTAAATACCGCATATAAACTATTTGTCTTTTTGTGACTGGCTTATGTCATATAACATAATGTCCTCAAGTTTTATCCATGTTATAGCATATATCAGATTTCATTCCTTAATAAAGTTAAATAAGATTCCATTTTATGTATAGACAACACTTTGTTTATTTATCCACTGATGGACAGGGCTTCTTACACATTTTGGCTACTGTGAACAATGATGCTGTGGACATAGGTGTACAAATATCTATTTAAGACCTTGTTTTCTGTTCTTTTGAATGTATACCCAGAAGTGAAGTTGCTGAATCATACAGTCATTTCATGTTTTTTTTAAGAACTTCTGTATGTTTTTGGTAGCAGCTACATTTACAATCTCACCAACAGTGTGCAAGTGTTCCAGTTTCCCCTATCTCCTTCAATGTTTGTTTTCTTCTTCTTTCTTCCCCCTCCTTTTTTCTTTCTTTATTCCTTTTTTTTTCATAGCAATCCTAATATATATGAGTGATATAATTTCTTAATATAATCAGGGACTTACATATAAGCCTGTTTTTGCTTATAAAGTACATTTTTAGACAAAAAATAAGATAACTATTTTAAAGCCACATATAATTCAGGGAGAGAGTAGGGTAGTTCCTGTTATCTATAAGAGAATAGGCAGTGACCAATTACAGATATCTTAATTACAATGTAAATTTTACACAAGTCAATCTATCTTTGGAAGAGTACTATGCATTAACTTTAAAGTAATACTATATAGTACTTGACCTCCAAACATATTTGAATATTCTCCTATATTTCCTTTTTTTGAATACTACAATGCGAATAGTAAGTGGGGTTATGGGGTAAGTAGGATTATAAAGAGAAGCAGTTAAGGGATTTTGACACTAGGACTCCAAAGGTAGTGCTGAATTAATACAGAAAATATAAAGATTCATTTTGAACCTATACATGCATACCAACCTACCCTTGTCTATTTCTTCAGAGGATAGTAAATATTAGACACAGCTGCAGAGATATATGAGGAAATGGAACACAGAATCTGAGGAAATAGTTCAGAACAAAGTTTAAAGAAATAAAAAGATGGACAATTTAAAGAGGTTAAGAGATAGAGTGACAGAATGAGGCCTTGCATGATTCTATTCTTGGGTAAACCTCCTGGGTGGATGTGGAGCAGAGCAGAGCTAGGCCAACTCAGGTCCTTGTACTCTCAAAAATCCTCAGTTAACTAACAACAGACATGTGAGGGAGTCATATTGAGGTAAGCATACTCTTCATATGACCCATAGACTTGTGAAAAATAATGAGTGATCATTGTTTCAAGCCATTAAATTTCGGAGTATTTTATTATGCAGCAACAACTAACTGGCATCTTGAAGAAAAGCAAAGACCAAATGAAAATCTTAAAAAACTTGACTCTTTCCTTACTATCAGTTATGATTATCTGTATACCTGGGGATGTCTGAAAAGACTCATGCCAAGCCAGTAGTTTGCACTGACTATTCCTGATAGCTGATCTACTTCAGACTCATATTTGCTTTATTTATTTTTTTAAGATGACTCCATTTCCAATTATTGAGTAGCCCTAGAATCACACTGCACCTCTTGAAATGATGCATTTGAAAGCACTTCTTATGGTCATTCTAAGCATAATCTTTACCTCTTGCCTCTTATTATTCTGATTATTATTCTTATTGTTCAGACTAGCAGGGTGGTGCCACAGTGAGTATTGCAAATTAGCTACCTTTAAAACTTCACTTTGGGTGGGTGTGTCTCTTGCCTTTGTAAGACAAGTTGCAGCTTGAGGATAATGACACTGAAAATTCTAGAGGACTCTTGAAATGATGCCAGGTAGATGGAAGCATGCATTTATTTAGGAGCTGGAAGGTGTCTTAATTCTATAAACAAGGTCACATTGAAACCTCATTGCTTGATGAACTCATTAAATATGTGCAAGTTTATAAACAGTGTATTATTTAATACTGTATTTCTAAAGTTAATAAATGTTTTTATTAATAAATATAATATGTTCCAGAAGCACACTGTTGAACCAGAAAATTTTGCTAAAACTCAAGGAAGCAAAAGGATCTATTTCAGCTTGTCCGAAATCAGAGCTTCTGAGCACTCTCTGGAAGAATACTTGGAGAAAAGAAATAGTAAAGTGAAGAGAGTAGGTATGGAAGAGAAAGGACATAAAAGAAAACCAAGAAAAGGAGGAGGAAACAAAAGAAGGTAGAGAGGTGAGGGGAAATGAGTGAAGGTAGAGGGAATTGGCTGTACACAACCCAATAGCTCCAACAGCCTTCCAGGTGAGTGGTCTCTGCTTCCAGACCCGTTTCACCAGCACTACTTGAAAAATCCTTCTATAGTAGGCCAATCATGCCAGTCCCCTGACTTAAGACCTTTGTAGCTCCCAGATGCTTTCTTCATTGAGTCAAAGTCGCCTATTTAGCATTCAAGCTCTGCCCTGCCTCAGCCTCCCCATGCCCTCCACACTCCCCCAAGTTTGCTTCTTTAGCCTCTGGACACACCAGGCTCTTCCTCTGCTCCAGGTCTTTCAGTCTGTCCTCAGCTTGGAATGTCCTCCTTACTTTCCTCTCAGCCCAAATGACACCCTCTCTATTAGACATTTACATGCTTGCAGCCATCTGACACCAGACCATCACCTCCTGAATAACTCACTTATCTCT